GAGAAGAACCTATGTGCTTCAGTTCAGTCGGGTTGAAATTCTTCCTTGAGATCATATTCGACCAACGTTTTCGGAGCAAAGTTTTTCTTACTTTTATCATTAGGATAAGTGTTAATGAGGTTAGTCTGATGAATTCACATGACTATGCCTAGAGCATTTCGTAAACAACATGTTAAACGTTCTTTGCTACGTCTTTTAGGCCGACTCTCTCTGCCAATAAACGCTTCTAATAATTTTGTTGTCTGTTGTCGCTCCTTTGACAGCACCGTCAGTGGGTTGAGTACCCGCGCAAGTGCTTTGGAAAAACTAGGGATTCGAGTCCTTTTCCGTAAATTTTTCTAGTTTTTCAACAGATCTGTTGCAGATTTCGATATAAATACTGTAATAACGTGGCTATAAATAAATGAGAAAACAAAATGAAAAAGTGGTTAAAAACGGCGCGCATAACTACAACTACTTAAATGTATCGCGCGTGACAACACATGACGTAATAATGGGATTGGTCTATTCGAAACCAGAGTTGTCAGATGCTTGGAATGGTTGGCGGCCAAATATTTTACGCTTAACGGCCGAATTCGGCCAGCCAAACAAAATATGCAAAAAGCTACATATTGACTAATTCTTTGGAGTAATCGTGTAATCAAAATTGGCTTTGTTTGTTATAAAAGTCCTTTTATCTTATAGCAATCCTGATTGGCTCTTCCATGGGAAAAGAGGAAGTGCTGTCTGCCACATTTCTGGCCGGTTGGCTATCTGTAAACTGAGGTTGTTGTTGCACGTTTCAGATTTTCCTCCCTTTCCTCTTTTCTTTTTTTCTCTCCTCCCTCTTTTTCTTTTCTCCCTCCCTCCAGACTTAGAAAAATTTGTTGTTTTGATTGTTAACTGAGACTTGGGCAAGTCTTTGGAACGTTCTTTGTCTTGTCGCTCGTTGGGGATCGGTTGCCTTGACAATTCATTTGTAAGTAGGCAACCATTCTGTCAGCAACATTTTGCACATCGTTTCCTGTCTGTCATTTACTGGCATCTTGCCACAAAAGTCGCAGAATAACCTTAGTAAAGCAAAGAAGACAAGCATCCTATACTCAAAGGTAGGCTACGTTTAATTTTTGATTGGTTTTATTACTATAAACTGTGATACTTTAGAAAAAAAATCAACTTTCCGACAGGGGTAGAAGTAACTTTGTTTCGTCATTTGCATTTTTAAGATTATTTTAACAAAATGTTGAATATATTCTGTGCAAAAATTTCGTTTTCTTTGTATTTTTATGGCTTTCAACGTGCGACCAAAATTCGGCCAACTTTGCTTTTTCGGCCAAATCAATTTTCGACGGCGAACAGCTTTGAAAAACGGCCAGATTGGAGGAATTTGGCCGTCAAAACGTTCGAAACTGTCTGGAAACTATCGGTAGGCGACTGTATTCATTTTAAACCATTATGTCTACTTCTTTATATATTCCGCTATATAGCATTCTAGGAGAATTGGCCTCGTAACGGTTCGAGCCGGGAACCAATTGCAAACTTTTGATGCCGTTAAAACTACGGTCTAATTTAACGTTTCCATTTGATTAACATGTTTGCCCTTTCTCTCCCCCCTCCCGCACTTACTACTTTCCCTACTCTTTCACCGAGGCTCTGGTACCAGATGGGTACGCTAGTTGTCCAGTTTATGTACAATATATAGCAAGATAAATCGTTTATTGCCAACGGCTACATCTGTGCCTGACTCACAAAAGAGGAGGGTCTAACACTGTGTATATATGGTATAACGGCGGAGCAAGAGTATGTTGGATGTCCCTAAAGTGCCATAAATCGTGTACACATCAGTTCCAGCCTGATCTCTAGAATCCAGATATTTAAGTGCTGGTTGGGAACTTAGGTTGGATCAAATTTTGCTTACTTATTTTCCTTATAACATTGTCATCAACAAGTTTCTGTTCGGTGATACACTTTCAAAAACCCTACAAATAACCTCATCGAATCCATATAGTTCCTTTATTTTTGATGAATAAAAGGGAAGAACATCATCAAAATAACACTCTGAGGAATGGGAGTTCTTATTGACACTTTGAGCTTGCAGATCGATGATGAAAATAATAATGACAATCTTGGTGATTTTGATGAAAAAATACGAGACATAGACTCAACTGTTTGTGCTCTTCATGATTTTTCATTGTTAAAGGAGAATTTCAGGATAATTTTGAGTTAAAGGGGCTGTGTCTCAAGGGACATCCCGCGTGGCAACATGCCAGTTTTTGAAAGTTGTTTGGGGGAAACAACCTGCGTTCAATAGTAAAACCAATATGGAATGAAAAAGTTTTTTGTAACCATGCTCATCGTGCAAAGCTTTTGCATTTTTTGATGTTTTATGAAAGAAAACGAATAATAAAGGTTCTTTCTTCAGTCTATTCATAATTTTTCTTTGGATGCAGGACGGTGATACAAAAAACAAAGGCAACTTTTACGGCTAGGATACCACAACTCGCAGTGAGCTGTTTAGAGAAATTGCCCGAAATGACACTAAAAAATCTACCTTACTGGTGCAAATTATGAGCGAAAACATTTTTTAAAGTTTGCAGGACAATTTTTGTGCGATCATTTCGTTGTGAAGCGTCTAATGCCACCGAAATTCACCACAAAAAAACGAAATATCTTCGCCATTGATCGAATAAAGGTTCATTTCCTTGGCCTAGACCAATTGCTTTAGACATTTCGTGTCGAAAGTCAGTATAAATGTGGAAAGAATGTAACTGTCTTTTCAATATTTGGTAAATACACTCATAAAATACAATTTATCGGACATATTGTAGCCTGCGTTCTCATGGGGGGGGGAGGTACCTTAACATGTTTGAAGGTGCGGGGACGTGCCATTATTTAAGGGTAACTTTTTTCTGAAAAATGCGGAATTCTCATATCACTTTTTGAAATATGTGTCGATTTATGGGTACCAATTGAAAACATGCAGAATTATGGGTACCATTTTGGGAAAATATTGCAAAATTATTAGGAGGGATATTTAGCATTAACAAAATTAATGATCAGTTAGAAATAAAACAATGAAGTATGTGTAATATTGAGATTTCGGGGCAAAAAACATGCAAAATTAGTTGAATGATTTTTTTTGTGCTGTAAAAATTTTATTTGCTTTGCGGAATTATGGGTATAGTTTTCATTGTGTTTGCGGCATTATGGGTCACATTTTTTCAGACATTTGTGAAATTATTGGTCCAAATTCTTAACAAAAATGGGCACATCCCCGTCAAAAATTAGGCTTGGTTTACCCCAGAGCCTGCGTGCAAACTTTACTTTCCTCTGCGAAGAAGAGCCAGGACTGAAGTTCCGTATTGGCTCTCCTTCGCAACGGAAAGGAAAGTCTGCACGCAGGCTAACATACCTTAGTCTCTTCAAATTTCGCCTGCCTTTAAATTTCGCCCCGGAGGGGGGCGAGAATTAAAGGGGGCGAATTATGGAAATATTTAATGGGGCGAAAATTAGAGGTAGCGAACATTAAAGGGTCCTTAAAAAATCTATTTTCTATAATAGAACCTTAGTTTTTAGGCCCTTCAAGAAAACTTCAAGCTACCATCTTTGCGCGCGTCAAATTTTCATCCTGCGTTGATTGCTTTCATTGTTACAGTCCTCATTTAGGGACTTTATGGAAAAATATCCATACTGAAAGTCATAAAAAAGATTTCTTAATCCTAAAAATTTTGACAAAGATGATAAACTTATGTCTTTTTAAGGGGCCTTACTGTAGTTCAAAATAAAATCCATTAATCTTCGATAACGATAATATTGTCCTCTCCAATGTCTGAAGGGTGATTTTGTTCTTCCATTTCTGAAGTGTCTCCTCCTCAGGGCCATATTCGTCCAAATCATCAGCGGCTAATCTTTTCTCGGCTTCAGTTTGGTCAGAAGATACTATCATCTTCTCTGGCTCAATATAGTAGTCTTGCAGATATTCTTTCATTCGATTGAAGACAGAACTTTGCGCCTTATCCTTATTAACGATTAGTACAATCGGTATTTCGAGTCCACCTTCAGGAATTAGCGATCCTCTATACTTGTTGTCTCGTACACTACCTTCTAAAGCGCCTCCATAATTCAAGAAAAAATGACAAAAGCGATTTTTCAGCAAAAAGTTTCCAAACAAAAAAAGATTTTTTAGAGGCCCGAGTGTAGTTCCATGCCGCATGAACGTTCATTGCTTGGAAACTGATTAGGTCAAAGCTTTGAAATTTAAAGGGTTTGGGGCGAAAATTAAAGAGAGCGAACTTGTGCACAAAAGGGGGCGAAAATTAAAGGGGCGAAAATTAAAGGGAGCCAAAATTGAAGGTAGGCTAAATTTGAAAGGACTAAGGTATTGAAGCACCGGAGCACCATCCCTCATAATCCCAATGCGCAATCCAGGCTAAAAACGCACACTGTCCCGTGTATTTGGTTTGTTGACAAACCCGTGACACAGCCCCTTTACTTCAACAAACATGGTGAAAATTATACCCATAAATCAGCAAGACAAATGACATTTTTCAAAACACAACAAAATCATCAAGCACATTTCTTATGTCTTTTGCCCAAATATCTCAATTCTCAATATTACACATATTTTCGACTTTCAATTCTAAGTAGACATTCATTTTGTCAGTTTTCCTCTTAATAAATTTGCAACCTTTTTACCAAAATGGTGCCGATAATTCCGCTTGTTTTTTCAAATGGTACCCATAATTCCGATACCGATAATACCGAACATTTCAGAGACTGATACAGATAATTAAAAACTTTTGAAAAATGGTACCCCTAAATAATTGTACGTCCTCATACCAAAAACTAGAAAGACACTATTTTGCCTTCGTATCAATGCCTTAAAAGTTGCCAGTGCAACCGCCAAAACTAATATTTTCTCTAATTACGGTATTACACATCAGTACAAAATTTTAGTTTAAGATTAGATGTTTTTCTAGATCTAACGAGAATTTTGCGAAGTGCGGAGAAGACGAGTTACAATGACAAAAAGGGTATTTCTCTGGACTGCTCCAAGAAGCGTCTCAACTGCATTCGAGCGCTCATTCCGGGAGCTAAAGAACAGCAAGATTTTTCACGAGCCTTACTGTTGTGCTTACTACTTTGGGCCGCAGCGACAAAGCAGTCGGTATGAGAACGAGGCTCCCGATGAAGTGCACAATTACAAGGCCATCGGCGAAAACCTACTAAAAGAATATGACGGTATTGACTTGGTCTTCGTAAAAGATATGGCATACGGCGTTGAAAATCATTTCAACGAGTTACTCGGTGACGGAATGAGCAGCTTCCAGCACACATTCCTCATACGCGACCCAAAGAAAGCAGTACCATCACTGCACGCTGCATCAGTGAACAAACAGCTAACGGGATGGGACTACTTTGACCCAAAGGAAAGTGGCTTCAGGCAAATGTATGAGCTGTACATGTTTGTTGTCAAGCACATAGACAAATGCCCTGTCATAGTTGATGCAGATGATTTGTTGAATGACCCTGAAGGTATAATGCAGGAATATTGTGAAAGGATTGGCGCTAGGTTTGAAAAGGAAATGCTGGAATGGGAGCCAAACCCAATGCCAGATTGGGAAAGATGTGTAAGGTGGCACGAAAACGTACTGAAAAGCTCAGGATTTCAAAAAAAGAATCCCAACAATTTCAAGATCGATGCTTCAAGAAAAGGCGAAGAGAAATTACCAAATGTAATTATTCAAACGATTAAGAATTGCATGCCATTCTACGAAGGATTACATAAGAAGAGAATACAGGTGAGCACCGCCAAAGGTCACAAAAGTAGTTTTGGGAATATCGACGTATAAACTGTAGTGGTTTCTGTGAAAACAAAACTTGATGCCTTTAACTGTTGGAGAGAAAATGGAATATCTAACACGAAAAAATCAAACTTAGGTAATTGTTAGCTGCATATAATATCATCTGAAAGGCAATGAATCATGGTAAATTGGCCTTCTCTTTTGGGGAGCTCTTCTTGGAGAGTCATGGTAAATTGACTTTTATAGACAAAGCAATATAAACGGTTTCTAATTTTTCTTTAGAAAAAGACATTATTATGTCGACACAGAACAGTGAGGAAATAACTTTTTAGATGGGTAACAAGAAAAAGAATGGATACTGGGTAAAGATTAAAAACGTTGGAAGTTTGCTTGTTTCAAAAAAAAGGAACTTCTTAGTTTATCCGAGAAGGCTTGAGGCTATACAGCAAATGTGGTCAAGTTTTGAATATATGTCACTTATGTGTTTAGGACGACAAAATATGGATACGTTTTACCTACGCTGTTTTTATTTGAAAATATTATTAAAAAGAGAATTAAAAAAGACACGCTTAATTCGATAAATTTTGGTGATCTATCCATGCAATTTTGATCATAGATTTCTTATCTTGTGAATTGCGAGTTTATGCTTTATTGACCAGGGTCAAAAGGATTGGCCTTATTTTTATCAAGAGATCCCGAAGTGTGATTTACGAATCGGTGGTGTGCTTCGTCAACCCTGATAGCTAGTATGACGTCACGCATCATTGCATCGTCCTTTAATTGATAAAAAGAAATGTGAATTAGGTACTTCAATAGCATGTAGTGATCATGTTTGGACTCTTTTATTGCAAATTGTACTAGAAGTTCGTTAAGCTGAGTAAAAGCAACCGAAGAAAGCAAAATTGGTTCAATTTTTTGTTCCTTCTGGCGTGTAGGTACAAAAACATATCCTCTGCAATAGCCTAGCTCAAAATTAAACAACCAGGAACAGGCAAAGACAGCTATTTTCTATGAGCACCGTCAATGGCCAAACAAAATCCGAGTTCTCGCAAAAATACAGCTTTAGCTGAAAAGCGTAGACAAGAAAGCGTCACTGCACATTTTTGCACATTCTTGGTTTTCAAGCAAATGTTTCTGAGTTACTTCGGCTTTCCAGTCAACAAGAACATCATCAAAATTCAGCTTTTAAATCAACCAGAAAGTCTTCATCAAAAAAATTAGCCCAAATAGTTTTAACTGTGAGAAATGAATCCCACCATCGGCTTAAAAGCTTTAGGAAGCAACCTGAAAATGATAAAATCTAACACAATTAAATGGAGATACACACCTGCAGCCTCCAGTAATTTTTGGCGATCTCAGGAGCTGCAAAACTCTGCCATATGGGCAACTTTCCATTATCAATACACTAAAAAATTGAAATAATCATAAAATTGGTCGTAGGCAGTAAATTCTTATGGAAAAGGTAGTCTTGCAGCTGAAGGCGATATGTAATGACATACTTATAATTCTCACTACAAAACTTATAAAAAATATGAAAGAATGTGTGAGCAACTTTAATTTTAAATGATACAGATACCTTTTAATAAAGAAAAATTGACAATTTGGCTTAAATAAGCAATTACGCTATACGCTTTGCAACACGAATTGACAAATAAACGTAATTTCTAACAATAAGCTAAATTTTATAAACTTGTGTAAAATCAAGCAGATTCAAGCTGTATTTACGTTTTTTCTGAAGTCATTTTGTTTGATCTAAGAGTACTCCTTAGCCAGGTACAAAGTAAAATATGGAAGATGAGCAATGCGAAAAACGCTGATTGGCTGAAACCAATCAGATGTAGTGCGATTTCAGGATATTCACACGATTGTTGGGAAGTAATCTGAAATTTCTTCGAGATGCCTGCGTGGCATGCGCTTTCTTTGGTTCACCTCAAGTTCCTTACCTAAGAAGTATTCCAGATTGGAGGAATTTGGCCGTCAAGACGTTTAAAACTGTCTGGAAACTATCGGTAGGCGACTGTATTCATTTTAAACTATTATGTCTACTTCTTTATATATTCCGCTATATAGCATTGTAGGAGAATTGGCCTCGTAACGGTTTGAGCCGGGAACCAATTGCAAACGTTTGATGCCGTTAAAACTACGGTCTAATCTAACGTTTCCATTTGATTAACATGTTTGCCCTTTCTCTCCCCCCTACCGCACTTATGTAATGCTTTCATTACTGCTTACCCCACTTTTTCACCGAGGCTTTGGTACCAGAGGGGTATGCTAGTTGTCCAGTTTACGTACAATATATAGCAAGTTAAATCGTGCATTGCCAACGGCTACATCTGTGCCTGACTCAAAAAAGAGGAGGGTCTAACACTGTGTATATATGGTATAACAGCGGAGCAAGAGTATGTTGGATGTCCCTAAAGTGCCATAAATCGTGTACACATCAGTTCCAGCCTGATCTCTAGAATCCAGATATTTAAGTGCTGGTTGGGAACTTAGGTTGGATCAAATTTTGCTTACTTATTTTCCTAATAACATTGTCATCAACAAGTTTCTGTTCGGTGATACACTTTCAAAAACCCTACAAATAACCTCATCGAATCCATATAGTTCCTTTATTTTTGACGAATAAAAGGGAAGAACATCATCAAAATAACACTCTGGGGAATGGGAGTTCTTATTGACACTTTGAGCTTGCAGATCGATGATGAAGATAATAATGACAATCTTGGTGATTTTGATGAAAAAAGACGAGACATAGACTCATCTGTTTGTGCTCTTCATGATTTTTCATTGTTAAAGGAGAATTTCAGGATAATTTTGAGTTAAAGGGGCTGTGTCTCAAGGGACATCCCGCGTGGCAATATGCCAGTTTTTGAAAGTTGTTTGGGGGAAACAACCTGCGTTCAATAGTAAAACCAATATGGAATGAAAAAGTTTTTTGTAACCATGCTCATCGTGCAAAGCTTTTGCATTCTTCGATGTTTTATGAAAGGAAACGAATAATAAAGGTTCTTTCTTCAGTCTTATCACCATATTTCTTTGGATACAGGGTGGGTGATACAAAAACAAAGGCCACTTTTACGACTAGGATATCACAACTCGCAGGGAGCTGTTTAGAGAAATTGCCCGAAATGACACTAAAAAATCTACCTTACCGGTGCAAATTATGAGCGGAAACATTTTTTAAAGTTTGCAGGACAATTTTCGTGCAATCATTTTGTTGTGAAGCATCTAATTCCACCGAAATTCACCACGAAAAACGAAATACCTTCGCCATTGACCAAATGAAGGTTCAATTCCTTTGCCTAGACCAATTGCTTTACACTTTTCGTGTCGAGAGTCGGTGTGATACTAAAATCTGCGTGGCAACCAAATCTGCGTGGGCCGACTCCAAATCTTTTTTTGCGTCTGGATCATCTAATTTGCATAACAGAGGCCGCTCTGCATGCAGCCCATGCGAAAGCTAATTTGGCGCCTGTACCTTGCATGATGTCATAAAATCTTACAACAGAGGTTCTCTTCAAAAAAGCTCTCGCCCTGGATTAAATTTTTTTTCAATCCCCCAAAGGTTTTTAATCGAGAAAGAAAAGAAAGATATAACATTTTAGTCCAAGATTGATAGCACATACATTCGGCCACAAATTAGTAAAATAAACTAACGAGATAAAATAATTTTGGAAATCAATATTTTGGAAAATAACATCTCTTTATGCGTTGTAAATACTATGATTTGATTTGATTTCTTAGGGAGAGTAATTAAGTATAAGACCTCACGGAGAAAAATGCTGATATACACTTTTTCTAAATTATAATTTTATTTCAAGAAAGCTATAAAAGGCATCTCTAAGGTCCTCAAATTTGATTCCGACTTCTAAAATGGCTGCAAGGGGAGCAGGAGCAGTTTTGTCCCAGGTTCTCAAGGTCTGTTATCATGGACACTGGAATTGGAACGACTTAAGAGCAAGGGGACAAGCTTGAGTAAAGGGCCTTTGAAAATAATTTTCAGCTTCTACTCATTCCTCCTACTAACTACTAACTGACATTTTATTTCAATCTTCTGTTCGTATCTTGAAATTTGGCTAACTTTGGCATAAGGATTTATTTTACAAGTCTTGAGAAATGTCGTCATGAATTGAGCACTGCAATCAGAATTTCAACGGAATCTCTCTGATTTTTACAATGGGGCGGTTTCAAGGGTACTTTAATCAAATGGGCACGCTGGCCCCTCTTGCCCCTCCTATCAAAAGGCAACAGGGGCGGTTGACCCTCACGCCCCATTCTCCGGCGTCCCTGTTTGTAATGTTTCATAATGTAATTCTTTTTTAAGAAAGGAATCAACAAACATAACAAATGCAAAGGTAAATTTTTTAAACAATTGCAAGAAAATTACTGTAAGAAAAATTCTGAAATGTATCCTAAGCTAAACTAAAGACTAGTGTCTTATTAAGTAATAAATTTCAATTTAAATCAGGATTTGTTAAAAGAAACAAAATTACGCCTGAAAATGTAAAAGGTTTAAAATAAATAAATAAATGCAAGCTAAGCTTAAAGACGTGGTCGCGATGGCCCCTGCCATTGAATAAGCCCCTAATCGTATTATGCGGATTCTTATCCATGATAAATTGAACATATTTGGAGAAATGAAGGTAAATAAATAAAAAGAAATTCCAAAATGCTTTTGACATTGATGTAAACATCGATTTTTTAGAAATGTTCAATTCTCATAGTGAATTGAAAAACTAAAAGAGCCTTTGATAATGGGCCAATTTATTTCAATTTTCAGATGATTCTTTTTTTTCCCACCCTTGTTTAAGCCCTTCTCTTCAATTTGCTCTTACTATAATTAACAAACTACCAAAAGAGGGAGGGGCCAATTTAAAGATTTACATAATAAAATTAAAAAAATACTACTAGGTAGAAATTGCTCAAAAAAATTACCTTCCAACTATCATTAAAAAATGGTAATATTAAGGTGTAGTAATTACCACTTTGTGCAGTATTGTACACTGGTACCAGAGCAACATAAATTCGAGCGCGGAAATTAGAAG